GGCACGAACCACCGCCAACCTCAAAGTTATTCCTGTGTTCCAGCCCTTTGCTGCAGACCCTGGGTCAGCCCTCTTCCTCTCTCTGGCCACCGCTCTGTTCACCAAGCACTAAGCCCTTCTCCGTCTCTCCCGACAACACATCCCAGTACGCGAGGCGCAGTCTCGCCAGCCTTCCCTTCCACGGAGCACTCTGTTCTCGGGGCTGATCCCTGGAGGAGCCCGTGCCAGGCCCCCCTTCTCATATTGGCAGATGGTCCGTCGTATGAGTAGGCCGCCATTCGCCCGGGGATGGACATTTGGATCCGGGCCCTTAGGAGGAATGTTACCACCAACACTTGTGCTCACATCTCCGCGTGGTGGGGAGAGCCGCCGCCGTGGGGGTGGTAGCACCCCGGGATGGCTATGTCCTGCCCTGAGAAGCCTGCCTAATAGGGAGGAAAACGGTTTTCCCTCTCTCTCCTCCTTTTCCTTCTAGTCAGAATTCCTACAGGAATCCAACGTGCTCATGGCCAAGGTGAACTACGTGGAAGGCGAGTACAAAGAGGCACTCAACATCTACGCCCGGGTGGGCCTCGACGACTTGCCCCTGACCGCGGCCGCCCCCTACAGGTTGAGGATGATCGCCGAGGCCTATGCTACCAAAGGTGAGGGGCGCCCCTCGGGGAGGGCTTCCCCATGGAGCCAGGGGGTGGTCTCCCCAGAGCCTCCGGTCTGAGCCGGGACCTTGGGTGGAGATAACGCCGGATACACCCCGCAGGGCCGGTGCCTCCTCACATAACGGTCACTGTTAAGCCCAGCAGTAGAACCTGGGTTCTTCAGTTATCCCTGGGAGATGTGACGTGCCAGTTCGTGCCCTCTGATAAGTCCTATGCCACGGAAGCTGGGACCTGTGTGGATAAGATGTGGTCAGGTGCCAGCGAATTGGTTCTGACCCATAGCAACGCTGCCCGGCCCTGCGCCATCCTCACAATTGTGCCTGTGCCAGGGCCCATCGGGGCAGCCACAGTGTCAGTCCGTCTCATCAAGGGTCTTCCCCTCTTTCGCTGCCCCTCCACTTTACCAAGCAAGGGTCCTTCTCCAGGGACTGGTCCCTCCTGACAGGATGTCCAAGATGAAGCCTCGCCCCCCTTGCCTCTAAGGAGCGTTCCGGCGGTCCTCCTTCCAGAGAGATCTGTGTGTCCTTTTGTTCAGTCCATGCGACTCTCAATCTCCTTCGCCAGCACCGTCATTCAAGCACATTCATGATTCTCCCGTCTTCCTTACTCCGTGTCCAATATCCACACGCATATGGGGCAAGTGAAATTCCATGGCACGGGTCAGAAGCCGTCCTGGCCTCTTAAGAGCATTCTGTCTGTCCTTCTTCCAACACGAAGCAGTTTGTCCTTTCGGCCGTCCACTTTCAACATTTTTCTCCAGCATCACCATTCAAATGCACCGATGCTTCTGCAGTCCCCCTGGCTCACTGTCCCACTTTCACATGCACCCGGGGTGACGGAGAACACCACGGCTTGGGTCAGACACACCTCGCACATACGGGGATGAGGTGAGCCGGCCACAGACTCTCACTCATTACCTCCACATCTGTTTGGTGGACTCCTGGGATAATCACGGAACCAGGCAGTGCCCCCCACTCCCCCCGCACCCCCGGTATCTAGTGACGGGACCAGGGACTGGGGTGTCGAAGAAAGGCCGAGCATGATCTCTGCGTGGCTCTGACGCAGGGTGTCATCTATTGTCGGAGGACACTGCCCCATGGAGGAGACGCAAGCCTCACCCCGTAGCTGACCTGCAGGCTCCTGTTTCTTCATCTGTAAAATGGGCAGACCACACCCACATTCTAGAGTCAGCTGGAGGATGAAGTCAGGTCATTTCGGCGAAGCACTTAACATAGTACACATTTGACACATACCAAATGCTTAACGGCTGGCATTTGATGGCACCAATCCAAAACAGGAAAGAACGTGTGCCCTGTTGATGCTTGGCACAAAGAACAGCTCTTCTTGGGCAGGAGTGGTCACTGCCAGGTGGGCTTTTTCTAAGAGGAGGGCATATATAAAAGCTCCGGGCAAGAATTGCCCATTGAAAGCAGGCAGCTTTTCTCCTTTTTGCCACCTGCTGTCCAGCCCATGCATGCAACTGACCATGACTGGCCCAGAGGCCAGGGGCTGGGCAGCCTGAGCTGGCAGCAGGGTGCTGTAGCTGACACTAGCCTGACCTTGTGTGTGACCTCCAGGCCTGGCTTGACTAGGGCTTTCTGTCAGAACGTGGAAAAGCCACAGGGTTCACACAGTCCAAATGCAGCCCCCCAGGAACCCTGTCTTCCTGGGCACCTAGCAACAGCGGCGTCCAATTGCTGAGCCCAGCACCTCCCTCGGCAGG